AAATCACCCCTGACAGATGGCCATTCAGTCTCTGTTTAAACGCTTCCAAAGAAGGAGCCTCCACCACACTCTGGAGCAGAGAGTTCCACTGCTGAACGGCTCTCACAGTCAGGAAGTTCTTCCTCGTGTTCAGATGGAATCTCCTCTCTTGTAGTTTGAAGCCATTGTTCCGCGTCCGAGTCTCCAGGGCAGCAGAAAACAAGCTTGCTCCCTCCTCCCTGTGGCTTCCCCTCACATATTTATACATGGCTATCATATCTCCTCTCAACCTTCTCTTCTTCAGGCTAAACATGCCCAGCTCCTTAAGCCGCTCCTCATAGGGCTTGTTCTCCAGACCCTTGATCCTTTGAGTCGCCCTCCTCTGGACACATTCCAGCTTGTCAATATCTTTCTTGAATTGTGGTGCCCAGAATTGGACACAATATTCCAGATGTTGTCTAACCAAAACAGAATAGAGGGGTAGCATGACTTCCCTGGACCTAGACACTATGCTCCTATTGATGCAGGCCAAAATCCCATTGGCTTTTTTTGCCGCCATATCACATTGTTAGCTCATGTTTAACTTGTTGTCACGAGGACTCCAAGATCTTTTTCACACGTACTGCTCTTGAGCCAGGCATTGTCCCCCATTTTGTATCTTTGCATTTCGTTTTTCCTGCCAAAGTGGAGTATCTTGCATTTGTCACAGTTGAACTTCATTTTGTTAGTATCAAGCTGTGCCAAGTCTGCCAAGGACTTTGGAAATAAATATTTTGTTGATGTTCATATCTTGATTGGCATCAATTGATGAAAGTATTGAGTTATTGCTTCAAAGAAAGACCCCCAGCAGTTCGCCCAGATAAAAAGAGAAGCACATCTTAGTTTTAATGTTATAGGGTCTGGGTGCGACGGCACAATGCCATTGCCTTAAATCAAGAAATAGCTTCCTAAGATGTACAGAGATACTTGCAGGAACACCTCAGCAAGTGAGAGTCCAAAAGTGGCAAGCTAAAACCCAGAACCTCAATCAGTGGCTGTTACCAGATGAGAGACTCCCTGCTGGGCACACAGAAGGCTGGATGATTTGGAAGGCGCTGAACAGACTGCACTCTGTAGCACCACGAGATGCAGGGTCAACCTTAAGAAATGGGGCCACAAAGTGGAGTCCACAACATGCGAGTGTGGAGAAGAGCAAACCACAGATCACCTACTAAAATGTAGTCTGAGCTCTGCCACGTGCACAATAGAGGACCTTCTCACAGTGACACAGTGACACAGTGGTACAAGAGCCCAAATCATGTTCCTCCTACAAGGATGTGGTTTAGGGACTAAGGAAACCTGGTAAGTGAGCTGGATGTTACAGGGAAAGACCTTGCATTTGGCTGATAAAGTGGCTATTATCTGAAATAAACCGTGTCTGTTATGTGTAACAAAGCCATCTTTCTCCTCCTAAAGCCTCTGAAATGTTTCCCAGTGCTGGAAATGTCAAGGTTTCCACTTTATCTTAGAAATGTCCATGTCACTGTGTACCTTGTCATCTGGAGGTGACATTGGAGACAAGGAAGAAGAAGAAAGAGAGTAAAGGAAACAAGACAATGATGGATAGTTTCCAATGGATAGGGAAGCACGGGATGTGGAAACAATGACAGAACAAGTTTGTTTTTCTTTTATAGGAAAGATAAAGCCAAATCAGGAAAGGGAGAGTATAGCAAGAAGGCGTATGCATTCCAGGAAAACCACAATCCGTTTCGGTCTCCTGGATTTCGGTGAGTGCCCTGATCCATTTTTTGGGACTTTCCCAAATTCAGGAGGGTAGATATCTGTTTTCTCTCTGGGTTTTCAATCCAGCCAATTAAGAGGTGGGGGGCTTCCCAGGCACCTCTTCCCATCATTTTAGGCATTTAATCTGTTTCTACTTGGGAGGTGCCACAAGCAGGCACGCACATTATCTGTCCCACACTACACACTCTTCCCAAGGCTTCTTAAAGCTGTTTCTACTCTAGAGGGGAGGCACTACATGCAGACGTGTGTGCTTTAAGGAGGCTTCTCACCTGTTTCTACTCTAGAGGAGAGACACTACATGCAGGCATGTGTGCTTTAAGGAGGCTTCTCACCTCTTTCTACTCTAGAGGAGAGGCACTACATGCAGGCGTGTGTGCTTTAAGGAGGCTTCTCACCTCTTTCTACTCTAGAGGAGAGGCACTACATGCAGGCGTGTGTGCTTTAAGGAGGATTCTCAACTCTTTCTACTCTAGAGGAGAGGCACTACATGCAGGCGTGTGTGCTTTTAGGAGGCTTCTCACCTCTTTCTACTCTAGAGGAGAGGCACTACATGCAGGCGTGTGTGGTTTAAGGAGGCTTCTCACCTCTTTCTACTCTAGAGGCGAGGCACTACATGCAGGCGTGTGTGCTTTAAGAAGGCTTCTCACCTGTTTCTACACTACAGGAGAGGCACTACATGCAGACGTGCATGCTTTAAGGAGGCTTCTCACCTGTTTCTACTCTAGAGGGGAGGCACTACATGCAGGTGTGTGTGGTTTAAGGAGGCTTCTCACCTCTTTCTACTCTAGAGGAGAAGCACTACATGCAGGCGTGTGTGCTTTAAGGAGGCTTCTCACCTGTTTCTACTCTAGAGGAGAGGCACCACATGCAGGCATGTGTGCTTTAAGGAGGCTTCTCACCTGTTTCTACTCTAGAGGACAGGCACTACATGCAGGCGTGTGTGCTTTAAGGAGGTTTCTCACCTCTTTCTACTCTAGAGGATAGGCACTACATGCAGGCGTGTGTGCTTTAAGGAGGCTTCTCATCTCTTTCTACTCTAGAGAAGAGGCACTACCTGCAGGCGTGTGTGCTTCAAGGAGGCTTCTCATCTCTTTCTACTCTAGAGGAGAGGAACTACATGCAGGCGTGTGTGCTTTAAGGAGGCTTCTCACCTGTTTCTACTCTAGAGGAGAGGCACTACATGCAGGCATGTGTGCTTTAAGGAGGCTTCTCACCTTTTTCTACTCTAGAGGAAAGGCACTACATGCAGCATCCAAAGTTCCACGCACCACTCTTCTGGCAGACAAATCTGTGTCTACAGACAACAGATTGGTCTGCCCTTGACATTAACCAATCTCTCCAGACAGGTCATTAAAACTGTAAAAAAAAATATTGGCATAAGGGACATACCAGGCTGTGAAAAACCTCCCAAGATAGTACACAAGGAACACAAAACTTGAGAGACATGTTGTCACACTCAGATATTAACCATGATTCCCAAATTATGAGGATTAGGCCTAATTTAGTAGGAAATTTTCCTTGTCTCCATTGCACCATATGTCCGCAATTTATTCAAACTAAGGTTTTTCAAAATGCCCAAACTAGGAGTATTTATCAACTGCAATCAATGCCCCGCAAGATAAAAATACAGTCAAAACAATTACATATAAAATAGCCATATAAAAACAATTAACAATTAACAATTAAAAGTGTTTCGTTTTCTTTTTGTTTGTTTGGATTACCCAAAAAAAGACTAAATTGTGATGCCGAAAAGCAGAGGAGGAGCCAAGATGGGTTCTTGCTTGTTTTCATTGCAGGCGGATTTTCGTACTGGGAGGACCCTTACTGTTACGGGCTCTCCCTGTATGAAAACCCGCCCGCAACTAAAACAAGTGAGAGCCGGTTTCGGCCTTTCCTCTGCTTTTCACATCACTGAAAAGGCACCGAAGGTACCAAAGAAAAACAGATCTGTGCACAAGTCTAATAGCAAAGCTATTAGAAATTATGCACTGTGGACTTCCCATTGCTCAGTTGTGAGACGAAAACTGTTGATGTTCCTTAGGATCTTTAAGTGTGACCTGTGATGCCCTCGTTTGCTATAATGTTTTGAAAATCCACAAACTCACTTTTCATATTCAAAGTTGGTGTGCTGGTATGGCTGTAGCAGGAGCTCCAACTTTATTTGCTTTGTATTAAATGTTTGCTTGCAGTCCCAGGTTTCAGGGACTCTGCAGGAAGGTGGCTTCCTTTGGTTGCAGTCATAGGGCAAGTCACCTGTCCATCATCGTTATGTTTTGGCCCCGCCCCTTGCTCAGGGCCATTGGGAAGGGAAGGGAGCCATTTTTAATTAGTCTCAGCAAGGAAAACTAACGTAATGCAAGCTTCCCCTGTACAAAAGCTTCAACCCTTAAGACTTTCCGGGGGAGAAGAGTCTTAAGAGCACCCAAAGATTTCCAGGGAAGCAGTCCTAAAGCTTTGAGGAATTTCAGAGGGTGAACAGTTTGAAAGACCAAAGAACTCCAGCTGGAGAATATCTAAGCCTTTACTGGTAGGTCCACTCAGTGCTTCGAGACACAGTTCAACCCGGTAGTGGAGCCCACATCAGTAAGGGTTAGATTACAGTCAGCCTGGGAGAAGTTAAAAAGGGGATTTTCCTTTAAAGTAAAGAAGAAGTTATTGAAGACAGTTGCCTGTCCTTCGTGGGCAAGTTTAGGAAGCTACCAGTTGCATAAAAGCCTGGAATCATTTGTTTAACTTTCTGAAGACAAGAGAAGTTTCTGTTTGATTGTTTATTGTTTATTAATAAAAGACTTTGTTATATTTCACAAGCCATCTAAAGACTATTTGTGGTGGAAAACCTCTGAGAACTTCTCTTTGGGCTCCCTGGCTTCCCGCTGGGCAAAGGTTGCACGTCCTATTCTAATGGAAATTCTTTACAGGCCCAGCGCATGACAGAACAGTTGGCACTGACCTTTTGCAGTTTGAAACCATTTTAACTGCCATGACAATGCTGTAGGGTGCTGGAAATGGTAGTTCTACCTCTTCAAGCTTCTGTGCCCAATAGTGTGGGTGCTTTGCGAAACTACACCTCCCACGACTCCATAACGTTGAACCATGGCAGTTAAAGTGCTGCCAAACTACATTGTCCATGTTCTGATACAGCTACTCCTTATAATTTAGCAACCTTAAATCAAGCTAGTTATTCTTTAACTTCTTTCTGGACTTTGAAGTCTTCTGCTAAATCCACATTTATCCGATTTGCGGACAATTGTATCATTTATTGACCCAGCTTTGCAGAGATACTAAAAGGCGCTTCCTTTCGGTTAGGAATAGGCACTTTAAAGGCTAGAGGAAAGGTTATCTGGATTGATCCTGGTTTTATTGCTCTTGTTCTTGACCACGTTTCAGAAAGACAATGAAGAACCCAACACCAGCCAGTTTGCTTCTGTTACTCATTTCCTTCTCAGGGGTCCTGTCTGAAACAAGTAAGTATTGGGGGATATATATAATATATTCAGCGCATCTGAGAATTAATGCAGTCTGATAGGCAACAGGGAATTATTGGGTGTTGACCTTGCCCAATCTTGGACAATGTATGAAATTGTATAAGAGAAGTAGACTAGTGATTAGCTACTCAAGCCAGTCTCGGATATAATGCAATTATGTCGATGCGCCCATCGCTGGATCATTGTAAGGTATAACAAGGATTTATGGAAGTGGTTCTCAACTTTCCTTATGCTGCAAAACCTTGAGACTGTTCCTCATGTTGTGGTGACCCCCAATCATGAGATTATTTTCGTTGCTACTTCATAACTGCCATTTTGCTACTGTTCTGAATTGTAACGTAAATATCTGATATGCAGGATGGATTTTCATTCACTGGACCAACTTTGGCACAAATACCTCATACGCTCAAGTTTGAATACTGGTGGGGTTGGGGGGAGATTGATTTTGTCATTTGGGAGTTGTAGTTGCTGGGATTTGTAGTTCACCTACAATCAAAGAGCATTCTGAACTCCACCAACGATAGATTTGGACCAAACATGGAACTCAAAACTCCCATGACCAACAGAAAATACTGGGTTAGGTGGGCATTGACCTTGAATTTGGGAATTTTAGTTCAACTCCATCCAGAGAGCACTGTGGACTCAAACAATGATGGGATTTATAGTTCTCCCACAATCAAAGAGCATTCTGAACTCCATCAATGATGGATTTGGACCAAACATGGCACCCAAAACTCCCATGACCAACAGAAAATACTGGAAGGGTTAGGTGGGCATTGACCTTGAGTTTGGGAGTTGTAGTTCACCTCTATCCAGAGAGCACTGTGGACTCAAACAATAATGGATCTGGACCAAACTTGGCATGAATACTCAATATACCCAAATGTGAATGTGCTGGTACGGCTGTACCAGGAGCTCCAACTTTATTTGCTTTGTATTAAATGTTTGTTTGCAGTCCCAGGTTTCAGGGACTATGCAAATAGGTGGCTTCTTTTGGTTGCAGTCATAGGTCAAGTCTCCTGTTCATCATTGCAATTGGGAAGGGACTTGCAATTGGGAAGGGAAGGGAGCCGTTTTTAGTTAGTCTCAGCAAGGAAAGCTAATGTACAGGACGTGTGCAAGCTTCCCCTGTACAAAAGCTTCAACCCTTAAGACTTTCCGGGGGGAAACAGTCTTAAGAGCATCCAAGACTTTCCGGGGGAGAACAGTCTTAAGAGTCTCCAAAGATTTCCAGGAAAACAGCCCTAAAGACCAAAGAACTCCAGCTGGAGAATATCTAAGCCTTTACTGGTAGGTCCACTCAGTGCTTCAAGACGCAGTTCGACCCGGTAGCGGAGCCCACATCAGTAAGGGTTAGATTACAGCCAGCCTGGGAGAAGTTAAAAAGGGGATTTTCCATTTAAAGTAAAGAAGAAGTTATTGAAGACAGTTGCCTGTCCTTCGTGGGCAAGATTAGGAAGTCACCAGTTGCATAAAGCTTGGAAGCATTTGTTTAGCTTTTTTGAAGACAAGAGAAGTTTCTGTTTGATTGTTTATTAATAAAAGACTCTGTTATACTTCACAAGCCATCTAAAGGTCATTTGTGGTGGAAAACCTCTGAGAACTTCTCCTTGGGCCCCCTGGCTTCCCGCTGGGCAAAGGTTGCATGTCCTGTTCTAAAGGAAATTCTTTACAGGCCCAGCGCATGACAGAACAGTGAACACTGGTGGAGTTTGGGGGAAATAGACCTTGACATTTGGTAGTTTTCATTACTGTAATTTATAGTTCACCTGCAATCAAAGAGCATTCTGAATCCCACCAATGATAGAATTGGGCCAAACTTCCCACACAGAACCCCCATGACCAACAGAAAGTACTGAAAGTACCCCTCTGACACCTCCCTTGCCCCAGGTTGAGAAACACTAGGTTAAACCCTTGTGCCGGCAGAACTACTGACCCGAAGGTTGGCGGTTCGAATGTGATAGATGGAGTGAGCTCCCGTCTGTCAGCCCCAGCTTCCCATGTGGGACATGAGAGAAGCCTCCCACACAGGGGCGGCTCAATCCATTACGCAAAGAAAGCATTTGCAGTATAGTTGATTTTGCCCAGGGGCGCTCTTGAGGTGCTCTTGGGGGAAATAGACCTTGACATATGCAAGTTGTAGTTACTGGGATGTACAATCAAAGAGCATTCTGAACTCCACCAATATTTGGAATTGAACCAAATATGGCACACAGAACTCCCATGACGAACAGAAAATATATATCAGTGATTGGTTGGGGGGGGGGGGGCACCAATATACTGTTTGCTTACCATTGAAAATTACCTAGGGCCTCCTCTGCTCCCACAGGATGGTAACACATCCCCTGGGCAACGTTCCTGCAGACAGCTAATTTTCTCACACCAGAAGCTACTTGCAGTTTCTATAATTGCTTCTGACACGAAAAAAAAATCTGTGAATTTCCATTTCTCCCTGTTGAAAATCATTTTGTTAGAGTGGGACTAGCTCTTTGTGAAGGCCATTTTATTTATTTATTTATTTACTTTATTTCTATACCGCTTTTCTCAGCCCTCAGGCGACTCAAAGCGGTGAACAACATCAGTACAAAATATCACAAAACAAGTATAGGGCAATTAAAAACAATTATCACATAAATCATTAACATCAGTATAACAATCATTAGCGCCTCAACAGTAAAATCAGAATCCAGTCTCGTCATCCATTATTCCATATTCCTATGTTCAATTACACTGTTTAATCCAATGCTTGTTCGAATAGCCAGGTCTTCACTTTCCTCCGAAACGCCAGCAGGGAGCGGGACGATCTGATATCTGCAGGCAGGGCGTTCCACAGCCAAGGGGCCACCACTGAGAAGGCCCTGTCTCTCGTCCCCGCCAAGGGCGCCTGTGATGCAGGCGGGACCGAGAGCAGGGCCTCCCCAGATGATCTTAGTGTCCTAGTCGGTTCATAGGAGGAGATGTGTTCGGAGAGGTAAGTAGGGCCAGAACCGTTTAGGGCTTTATAGGCTAAAGCCAACACTTTGAATTGTGCCTGGTAGCAAACTGGTAGCCAGTGGAGCTGGCGCAACAGAGGAGTAGTATGCTCCCTGAGTGCCACTCCTGTTAGCAACCTGGCTGCCGAGCGCTGGACCATTTGAAGCTTCTGAGCAGTCTTCAAAGGCAACCCCACGTAGAGAGCGTTGCAGTAGTCTATGCGGGATGTAACCAGAGCGTGGACTACCGTGGCCAAGTCAGACTTCCCAAGGTATGGGCGCAGCTGGTGCACAAGTTTTAATTTTGGATCCTAATCCTGCCTTCTGGGCTATTAGCTGTCCCTCCCAATTTATTGTTGCCTCTAAATCTGATCCGAATGCCTTCTATTTCATAATCCAAGTCATTGATAATGTTATGTATTTCCTCAGACCTCCAGCAGAAGGTGTTTGTTTTCCCAGAAGAATCGGACAGTGCCATGGTGGTTGTGCAGGCCTCGATTCTGGAGCCACTGACCAGCTTCACCGTGTGCCTGAGATACTACTCACTCCTGACCCGTGAATATAGCCTCTTCTCTTATGCTACAAAGGAACAGTTCAACCAAATCCTGGTCCTCAAGCCCAGTCCAAACCAATACAGGATTTATCTTGGGACGGTTTTTGTGACCTTCATCCTTCCGGAAAAAAAGGACTCTAAACCCGGTTGGGAGCACATCTGTGTGAGCTGGGAGTCTGCCACGGGATTAGTGGAATTGTGGTTGGATGGGGAGCCATTGCCACGAATGGGGCTGCTGAAAAGCCAATGTATCAATCCTGAGGCAAATATTGTACTTGGGCAAGATCAAGACTCCTTTGGAGGTGGCTTTGATGCCAGCCAATCCTTTGTAGGAGAGATGAAGGATGTGTACATGTGGAAGAGGGTTCTGAATGCCGACGAAGTGGGCCTAGTCTTGAGTGACTACGTTCTTTCTGACTATCTGATTAACTGGAGAGCGTTAAATTACGAAATCAAGGGTTATGTTGTCCTTCAGCCTTCTCAAACGCCTTCTCCGTACGGAGTTCAGTCATAATCATATACGTGCCTTCAGCGGCGGCTCAACCATTACGCAAAGTAAGCATTTGCAGTACAGTTGATTTTGCCCAGGGGCGCTCTTGAGGCGCTCTTGGGAGAAAATAGACCTTGACATATGCAAGTTGTAGTTACTGGGATGTACAGTTCACCTACGTTCAAAGAGCATTCTGAACTCCACCAATGATGGAATTGAACTAAATATGGCACACAGAACTCCCATGACGAACAGAAAATATATATCAGTGATTGGTTGGAGGGGGCACCACAATACTGTTTGCTTACCATTGAAAATTACCCAGGGTCACCTCTGCGTTCCTTCTTCTTCCCAACACTGTTCCAATAAAGAAAAATAGCATCTGATTCGTTGTGCATTTCCATGTTTTTTAAAAAAATTGTAGGCTTAAAAATTTGTGAGGGATACATCATCGTCGGCGATCTCTTGCATCTGAGTACGATTGTGTAGCATCTTGGCAGTGGGTCTGTAGGTGACTATAGAGACCTATTCGTTCACAGTGATGTCACAAAAATTTAATATGCAGATTTGAGAAATGTGGATTTATTATGATGTGTGGGAATGAATGGAAGGATGTATGGAGCTAATAATTTTGGAAACCCAGTAAAAAACCTAGGCCTGCAATGACTAACTGCCTGCCTGCTTGTGACGTCGCGCCTGAGGGCTATTATTCTCAATAAAGGAGGAGTGGAGGTGGCATCTTTCCCCCAGGGGATTGCTTCTTGCCCTCCTATAGGAAACTGGAACTCCCAAAAACCCAAAACGCTGTAAATAGCTCAAAATAAGTTTTATTTATTACAAAGTCATTTCTTCAAAGCAATGAACTGGAAAACTTTAGAGGGGTGAAGGAAAACATACTTTACAGTCTCAATTAGTCCTGGGTCCAAGGGGTTTGAAGCTGAGAAGCCTCACCAAGTTTCCTCTTTCCTCAATGGCTGTGAATGCCGGAGCAAACCACAACCCCAGTTCAGATGGCCTATGTTTTGAAGATTCAGGATCTTCCTTTGGTGCCAAAAGAACCGGCTTGAAGGCGCCTGGGTCTCCTCAATAATTGTCCAGGACGATCTGGACATAAAGCATGAGTCCCAGGGGTAAAAAACCTCAGAACTGGTGCTAAGAGGTAACTTAAATCAGGGTCCTTTAGAATCAGGTCTCTTACTCACATCCATGTTGCAGGAACTCTGATGGCAGAATGAAAGGGAAAAGGAAGTTCTCCCCTCTTACTGATTGACAGCTACAAACAACCAATCCATACAACTATACATAAGCAGTGTAAAAAGGGGCAGGATTGAGCATGATACAACAGTTTAAGTCTTGCAACTAACAGTTCTATACATAGGTGGCGCCACTCGCGCCGTCACACTGCTGGACTGTAATTAAAAGTTGCTAATGAGAATTGAAAGGTAAACTGTGATAAGTACTGTGACAATGGTTTTTTCAAGTCAAGGAAATGTTTGCAACATTCCTTATGTTAAGATGGAAGTCAACACAAGCCTTATGTTTGTCAACACCAATCAAGAAGAGTCAACATCTGGCCAGGAATCATAGAATTAAAGAGTTGGAAGAGACCTCGTGGGTCATCCAGTCCAGCCCCATTCTGCCAAGAAGCAGGAATATTGCATTCAAAGCACCCCCCGACAGATGGCCATCCAGCCTCTGTTTAAAAACTTCCAAAGAAGGAGCCTCCACCACACTCCGGGGCAGAGAGTTCCACTGCTGAACAGCTCGCACAATCAGGAAGTTCTTCCTCATGTTCAGTGGAATCTCCTTTCTTGTAGTTTGAAGCCATTGCTCCATTGTGTCCTAGTCTCCAGGGCAGCAGAAAACAAGTTCGCTCCCTCCTCCCTATGACTTCCTCTCACATATTTATACATGGCTCTCAGGTCTCCACTCAGCCTTTTCTTCTGCACAATCTCCAAGGTGCCAAAAAGCTGGACGTCAACACAACTTACCTCCTTTCTCTGTCCTGTCTGTCCAAATGGCATTGAAATGTTTGCTGTTTTGTGTACTGTGATCCACCCTGGGGAGAAATGGCAGAATATAAATAAATTATTATTATTATTATTATTATTATTATTATTATTATTATTATTATTATTTGAAACACAACAAGATTAGTATACAGCAAACAAGATCACTATGCTGGTTGTTGTATTGGATCACACGTCGGACACTTCCCTAGTGTCTAGGTGTCAGTGTGTAGGATCTAAGTAGCAATGGTAAATAACCACTCACAAGTAGACTTGCTTTGAAATGGATATATTGCTTTTCTCTCTGCAGCAAAAGAAAGACACTACTGACACTAGGACTGTGTGATGTATCGGCGAATAATGCATGCAGATCTCAGTAGGGTGGCCTTTTGCAGCTGGCAGATGGTAATTTTGTCAGTGCCAACTGTATTTAAGTTTTTTTGTTTTGGGGGGATTTTTTGTCATGTCAGGAGCGACCTGAGAAACTGCAAGTCGCTTCTGGTATGAGAGAATTGGCCGTCTGCAAGGACGTTGCCCAGGGGACGCCCAGATGATTTGATGTTTTATCATCCTTGTGGGAAGCTTCTCTCATGTCCCTGCATGAGTAGCTGGAGCTGATAGAGGGAGCTCATCCACCTCTCCCCAGATTCGAACCTGCGACCTATCAGTCTTCAGTCCTGCCGGCACAGGGGTTTAACCCACTGCGCCACCGGGGGCTCCATAGGATCTAAGTAGCAATGGTAAATAACCACTCACTAGCAGACTTGCTTTGAAATGGATATATTGCTTTTATCTCTGCAGCAAAGAAAGACACTACTGACACTAGGACTGTGTGATGTATCGGCGAATAATGCATGCAGATCTCAGTAGGGTGGCCTTTTGCAGCTGGCAGATGGTAATTTTGTCAGTGCCAACTGTATTTAAGTTTTTTTGTTTTGGGGGGATTTTTTGTCCAATGAATCATCTGGGCCACAGAGTTGTGCCTCTCATAGAATCATAGAATCAAGGAGTTGGAAGAGACCTCCTGGGCCATCCAGTCCAACCCCTGCCAAGAAGCAGGAATATTGCATTCAAATCACCCCTGACAGATGGCCATCCAGCCTCTGTTTAAAAGCTTCCAAAGAAGGAGCCTCCACCACACTCCAGGGCAGAGAGTTCCACTGCTGAATGGCTCTCACAGTCAGGAAGTTCTTCCTCATGTTCAGATGGAATCTTCTTTCTTGTAGTTTGAAGCCATTGTTCAGCGTCCTAGTCTCCAGGGAAGCAGAAAACAAGCTTGCTCCCTCCTCCCTGTGGCTTCCTCTCACATATTTATACATGGCTATCATATCTCCTCTCAGCCTTCTCTTCTTCAGGCTAAACATGCCCAGCTCCTTAAGCCGCTCCTCATAGGGCTTGTTCTCCAGACCCTTGATCATTTGAGTCGCCCTCCTCTGGACACATTCCAGCTTGTCAATATCTCTCTTGAATTGTGGTGCCCAGAATTGGACACAATATTCCAGGTGTGGTCTAACCAAAGCGGAATAGAGGGAGTAGCATTACTTCCCTAGATCTAGACACTATGCTCCTGTTGATGCAGGCCAAAATCCCATTGGCTTTTTTTGCCGCCACATCACATTGTTGGCTCATGTTTAACTTGTTGTCCACGAGGACTCCAAGATGTTTTTCACACATACTGCTCTCGAGACAGGCGTCCCCCATTCTTGTGCCAGAGTTGTTGTTGTTGTTGATGTTGGATATTATCTTACCCATCTGATCCGTCTTATTTTCCTTCCACAGGCTTGGATGGGAAAGTCTTTGTCTTCCCCAGCAATTCAGACAATTCCTACATCCTCCTGAAACCTGTCCTGAAGCAGCCGCTGCAGCGTTTCACCATCTGCCTCAGTTTCTTCACCGACTTGTCCAACTCTTTCTCGCTCATCTCGGTGGCTTCCAGGGAACAGGACAATGAGATCCTCTTGATGAAACACCCGAATGAATATGAGACCTGCGTGCGTGGACAATGCATCAGGTTCAACATACCTGGAAACATTTACCAGACCACAAGCCATTGGGAAAATGCCTGCCTGACGTGGGAGGCGACGACGGGGATCATCCAGCTGTGGATCGACAGTCAGCCCTTGCCTAGGAAAGGAATCGCCAAAGGTTTATGGATCCCAAACGATGTGGTGGCGATGCTGGGGCAGGAGCAGGATTCATATGGTGGCTCCTTGGATGCTGGCCAGTGCTTCATTGGAGAAATGGCCAAAGTGTACATGTGGGACACAGTGTTGCCTCCAGAACAGCTCCAGAGGATGAGGAAGGACACAGTACCGTCACCTTTAGTAGACTGGACAGCACTCGATTTTGAAATCAAAGGCTATGTGGTGATAGAGCCTGCCTTGCAATGAGACCTAAAGGACGAGAAGAAGTTAGAAATCTGTCTCTGTTTTCAGTTCTGATACACAACCCAACAAGTCCAATGAGATGGCATCTCAAGTGTTTCCACTCTCATTTGTGTGGGAAAGCCCTGCATGCAATAAAAGTGGCTTCATATATGACCGTTGGATGGAGTTGCTTAGTTATATCAGTAGTTCTGAACCTTCCTAATGCCGTGACCCCTTAATACAGTTCCTTGTGTTGTGTTGACCCCCAACCATAACATCATTTTCATTGCTACTTCATAACTATCATTTTGCTACTGTTATGAATCGTAATGTAAATATCTGATACGCAGGACCGATTTTCATTCACTGGACCAAATTTCATTCACTGGACCAAATTTGGCACAAATACCCTATATGTCCAAATTGGAATACTGGCAGGGTTGGAGGGATTGATTTTGTCATTTGGGAGTTGTAGTTGCTGGATGTATAGTTGTAGTTGCTGTAGATTTATAGTTCACCTTCAATCAAAGAGTATTCTGAACTCTGAATTGAACCAAACTTGGCACACAGAACTCCCATGACCAACAGCAGATACTGGAATGTTTTGGTGGGCATTGACCTTGACTTTGGGAGTTGTAGTTCACCTACATCCAAAGAGCACTGTGGACTCAAACAATGATGGATCTAGACCAAACTTGGCAAGAATACTCAATATGCCCAAAAGTGAATACTGATGGAGTTTGGGGGAAATAGACCTTGACATTTGGGAGTTGTAGTTGCTGGGATTTATAGTTCACCTACAATCAAAGAGTATTCTGAACTTCACCAATGATGGAATTGAACCAGTCTTGGCACACAGGACACCCATGACCAACAGAAATACTGGAAAGTTTTGGTGTGCATTGACCTTGAGTTTTAGAGTTGTAGTTCACCTACAATCAAAGAGCATTCTGAACTCCACCAACAATAGAATTGAACCAAACTTGGCACACAAAACTCCCATGGCCAACAGCAAATACTGGAAGGGTTTGGTGGGCATTGACCTAGAGTTTGGGAGTTGTAGTTCACCGACATCCCGAGAGCACCGTGGACTCAAAGAATGATGGATCTGGACCAAACTTGGCACGAATATTCCATTTGCCCAAATCTGAACACACATGAAGTTTGGGGAAAATATTATTTATTTATTTATTTATGTCACTTCTATCCCGCCCATATCAACCTCTGGGCAGCGTACAGATCGGCGTACAAATCAGCAAAAATTAGATGCCATATATAAAAATGGACGACAATGCAGCCTACAATGCCCTACCACATGCACAATGGAGGACCTTCTCACAGCGACACCAGAGTCACTCCGAGTGACCAGCTTCTGGCCCAAAGAAATTTAGCATCATGCCAAGTTTTTAATTTTGTTTGTGGTTTCTTATGCATTATAATTGTATTTTCAATTCTCTTCTGACATGATAAATAAATCATAAAACCTGTACTGACACCACTCTAAGGCCTTCAAGGAAATGGTTACTGCATATAACGCCGTGGGAGGACCAAACAAGGAAATATTTCTTACTTGACCAAAGTCTTATGCAAACATTGAATGATAGCAGGGCATTCATTTCCCAAACTATCTGCCAAAACTCTGTTTTGATTGAATCATGAAGGTTTACATGTTTGTTTTATGTCAGCTAGATGAGTGGGAAGGGGCAGGAAATTCCTCAGAAAGAGGGCTGATAAGACTGGACAAGAATGATAAATTGAGAGAAACTTTACAAAGTTTCGCAATGCGGAAAGCATTTGGATTTGGCAAACAAGTCAACGAATACCAATAAAAGGCTGAAGCTCCCAGTCAGATTGTTCAACCTAAAAGCAGAATGGAGACTCTTCATCACTTTCTCCTCATCTTTGCTGGTCTCGCGGGGTCCCTCGCCCAGGAAGGTGAGTACCGCAGTGCGTTTACGCTGGAGAAGTAATGCAGTTTGACACCACTTTAGCTGCCATGGCTCAATATTATGCAACCGTGGGAGGTGTAGTTTTAAAACGTCTTTACCTTTTTCAGTCCAAGAGTTTTGGTGCTTTACAAATCCCAGCATTCTGTAGCACAGAGCGAATTTGTGTGTGTGTCAGGAGCGACTTGAGGAACCACAAGTCGCTTCTGGTTTGAGAGAATTGGCCGTCTGCAAGGATGTTGCCCAGGGGATGCCTGATGTTTTGATGTTTTACTATCCTTGTGGGAGGCTTTTTATTCTGAAAGCTATTAAGAAAAGAGCAGATTTCCTGAAAGAAGAACCAGGAAAATAAGATTCTGAATATAAATAGAAGGTCGCCTGCTGTCTTCACCTTATTGCCTTGTTTTTTACTCGTGTTCTATTTTGAAATGGTCATATGACTGATCAAATAAATAAATATTGGGAGTTCTGTGTGCCCAGTTTGGTTCAATTCCATAATGGGTGGAGTTCAGAATGCTCTTTTGGTTATAGGTGAACTATAAATCACAGCAACTACAACTCCCAAATGACAAAATCAATCCCCCCTCCTACCCCAACATTATTCAAATTTAGGCGAATTGAGTATTTGTGCCAAATTTGTCCCCTCTCTCTTCCTTTCTTCCTTCCTTCCCTTCCCCCTTTCCTCTCTCCTTTCCACTCTCCCTTCTTCCTTCCTTACTTTCTTCTTTCCTTTCCCCCTTTTTTCCTACCTTCCCTCCCCCTCTTCCCTCACTCCTTCCCTCTCTCTATTTCTCCTTCCTTTCTTCCTTCCTTCCTTCCTTCCTTCCTTCCTTCCTTCCTTCCTTCCTCCCTTCCTTCCTTCCTTCCATCCCTTCCCTTCCTTTCCCTTCCCCTCTTTCATCCTTCCTTCCTTCCCTCTTTCCTCGCTCCTTCCCTCTATTTTTCCTTCCTTCTCTTCCCCTCTTTCATCATTCCTTCCCTCTTTTCTCACTCCTTCACTCTATTTCTCATTTCTTCCTTCCTTTCTTCCTTCCCTTCCCCTCTTTTATCCTTCCTTCCTTCCCTCTTTCCCCCCTCCCTCCCTCTCTCCCTTCCCCCTTCCTTACTTTTTTCCCTTTTTTTCCTTCCTTCCTTCCCCTCTCTTCCCTCACTCCTTTCCCCCTCTCTGTTTTACCTCCTTCCTTCCTTCCCACCATCTCTCTTGCTCTCCACCAATGGCGTCATGCACCCCTGACCATGGGCCTTATTTTAGGTTTCGTGACCCACCAGTGGACCACATCAGATATTTACATTACAATTCATAACAGTAGCAAAACAACAGTTATGATGTAGCAACGAAAATAATGTTATGATTGGGGGTCACCACAACATGAGGAACTGTATTGAGGGGTCACAGCATTAGGAAGGTTGAGAAACACTGCACGATTGACTCATGTTTAGCTTGAGATCTACCTACTTAGTCTCCTAGATCTCTTTTGCACGCGAGGTCAAATTGAAGGCTAGGACCTTGGATATGGAAGGTCCGTGCCTGGTGAGCGTTATGCTAAGAACCTGAAGTTTCAGACCAGGGAACACACTCACCAGGTGAATAAGAGCATCTATATAAATAAAAATGTAATGTTTGTTTGTGGTATTCACAGAACTCAAAAACCACTGGGGGAATTGACATCAAATTTGGACACAATACACCTAACTACCCAATTTATGTCCTTCACGCAAATAATAATAATAATAATTAACGGGAAAGAACTTACCCCCCACAAAGCTAAATGCCTCTAAAGAGCCAGTGTAAAAAGAACACCCTCCGCCACCTTCACTCCTGCACGAGGGAAGAGGGGGGAAAACTAACCACTGAGAGAGAAAGAGAGACGGCATGATAGAGGGTGGCTGGTCTATCTCTCTGGCTACCCCTGCCACTCTTCCCAAAGAATTCAGAGAGAGAGAGGGAGGGAGGGAGGGAAGGAGGGAAAGAGAGAGAGAGAGATCTCCTTTCCTTTCCTTCTTGCCTGTCGCTGGGCTGCTGGGAACTCACATGGGAGGGATTTCCCAGAATTCCTTCCCATACTGAGTTATGGGAAGGAATTCTGGGAAATGAAGTCCAGTATTCAAAGAAAGGACAAAAACCCACGCTCTGTGAGTTCAGAAAGACTGTCCAGGAAGGCACAATCAAAACAATCCGAAAAGATGGCCATCCATTTTTACTTTATAACAACCCTGGGCTATATCTACAATAATAATATCTATTAGGCTTGGGCGGTTTCGTTCGTTAATTTCGTAATTCGTTATTAATTCATATTTAAATTAGCTTACGATCCAATATTGAGCCATGCAGGAATAGTGTGAGGAGTAAATTAGATTCGAAACAATTTTTTCAATTTATTTCATAATTATTTCATTATTATTTTTGCATGTCTGGTGCAAGTTTTATAGTTGTTGTTTGTTTTATCACACCAACAGTCAACCACAGAGGGAGAGGGAAGCTTCAGAAGTTCCCCCTGTCCCATTTGGAGGTTTTTTAAGCATATTGCGCAATCGCGTCCGCCATTAACGAATCGATTCGAAATTTTACGAAATTTCGTATATTTTGAAATTTTTAAAAGGAAAATTTCGGAATTATTAAAAAAAAACGCAAGGGCCCCCTAAAAACAAAATGAGTTTAGAACCAAATTTTTCCGTGGTTACCCAAGCCTAATATCTATATATCTATCATAATAATATCTATCAATTTATAATAATATATATGTCAATGTTATCTATTAGGGCTGGGCGGTTTCGTTTCGTAATTTCGTAATTCGTTAAAAATTCGTTATTTTTTTTATAATGAAGCGATAACGAACCATTCAGGAGCAACTAAAAAACGAACCGAATTTTTAAATTCGTTTCCTAATTGTTTCGAATTCGTTTTGTATTCGTTTCGTTATCGTTTTGAAATCGTTTCGTTATTATTTCCGCATGTCTGGGGCAAGTTTTATAGTTGTTGTTTGTTTAATCAGTGAAAAAAAATTATAATATCACACCAACAGTCAACAACAGAGGGAGAGGGAAGCTTCAGAAGTTCCCCCTGTCCCATTTGGAGGTTTTTTAGCGTATTGCGCGGTCGCGTCCACCATTAACGAATCGATTCGTTATTGTTTCGAAATTGTTTCGTATTGTTTTGTAATTTTACGAAATTTCATAAATATCGAACTTTTTTAAAGAAAAAATTCGGAATTCTTTTAAAAAACGAAACGCAAAAAACCCCTAAAAACGAATCGATTTTAGAAACAAATTTTTCTGTGGTTGCCCAGCCCTATTATCTATATGTCTTTAATAATAATATTTCTATCATAATATCTATATGTCTGTAATAATGTCTATATGCCTATAATAATATCTATAGGTCTATAATAATATCCATATGTCTATAATTATATCTGTTTGTCAAAATTATCTGTACATTTATAACAATAATACCTATATGCCTATAATATCTATGTCAATAATAATAATAATAATATTTTATAATAATATGTATACATCTATAATAATAATAATAGCTATATAATATCTATAAAAATAACAATAAAAATAATAACATCTATATGTGTATAAAAATATCTATAGGTCTGTAATAATATCCATACATCTGTTGCCTGTTTTTCCTCGAAAGATATTGAGCCCTCTGCTCCTTCTATTTTTTATCAGTTTTATACTAATTTATGCAATGCTTTTGATACGAAATTCATAAATAAATAACATCTATAATACTAATACCTATATAGCTTTAATAATAATATTTGTATCTATAATAATAATAATATCTATATCTATAATGACAACAATACCTATATAATATTTTGGAACTGGGTTATATGATAGTGTGGACTCAGGTAACCCAGGGCCCTTCCACACATCCATATAACCCTTTGGCCTCGAGGAGACCGAAATGGGCTTGTATTAGATTGACACTTTGCCACTTCAGTTGTGTATTGATAGCTTAGAAACCAGCTCTTCCTCTTTTCTTTCTTTCCAATTTCTCCACAATGGGCCACAGCAATGCGTGGCCGGGTACAGCTAGTAAGAGAATATTTTGATTCAGCCGGAAAGGATGCAAGTACGGCTGATGCCAAAAATATACACACGTAACACAGAGACAAAAGGTTTTAGACACACACAAAATCATTTTGTTAAGATGAGGCCAGCTCTGTAATTTGTGAAGGCCATTTTGGATCCTGATCCTGCCCTCTGGGCTATTAGCTCTCCCAATTTGGTGTTGTATGCAAATGTGATCGACATGCCTTCTATTCCGTCATCCAAGTCATTGATAACGTTATGTCATGTCTCACTTTTCCATAGATCTCCAGCAGAAGGTGTTTGTTTTCCCAGTCGAATCAAACAGTGCTGCTGTGGTTCTGACGGCCCCGATCTCGCAACCACTGACCGGCTTCACCATATGCCTGAGACACTACTCACTCTTGACCCGTGAATACGGCCTCTTCTCTTACGCTACGAGGAAACTGGACAACCAACTCCTGGTCTTCAAGCCCAAACCGAACCAATATAGGCTTTATCTTGGAGCAGTTTATGTGACCTTCATCCTTCCAGAAAAAAAGGACTCTAAACCCGGTTGGGAGCACATCTGTATGAGCTGGGAGTCTGCCACAGGATTAGTGGCATTGTGGTTGGATGGGGAGCCATTGCCCCGAATGGGGCTGCAGAAAGGTTACTCTATCAGTCCCGAGGCATCTATTGTACTTGGGCAAGATCAAGACTCTTTCGGCGGTGGCTTTGTTGCCAGCCAATCCTATGTAGGAGAGATAAAGGATGTGTACATGTGGAACAGGGTTCTGAATGCTGACGAAGTGGGCCTAGTCTTGAGTGACTACGTTCTTTCTGACTCTCTGATTAACTGGAGAGCGTTAAATTATGAAATCAAGGGTTATGTTGTCCTTCAGCCTTCTCAAACACCTTCTCCATATGGAGTTCAGTCATAGTCATATATGTGCCTTCTTCTTCACCAGCAATGTTCGAATAATAATAAAAAATAGCACCTGATTCCTTGTGCATTTCCACCTATCTTTCTATATAAATAAAAATGTAATGTTCGTTTGTGGGATTAACAGAACTCAAAAACCACTGGGGGAATTGCCACCAAATTTGGACACAATACATCTATCAACCCAATGCATGCCCTTCACTCAAAAAAAAAAAACAACGAAAACAAAAAGCAGAAAGGACTTCTAAATTGCATGTCCACAAAGGAGAAACTGCATACCCAGAAAGAGACCCATGGCCACGGCCCCTCCTCCTCGCGGGGAAACAGCAGCCGTTAAAGCATGAGGAGCCAGGCGCGAGTGCACGGCCACACACACACACAAACAAGAGTGGCCACCATGGGAGTGGAGGTGGAGGCTTGCTGCATGGAGCCCCTTCTCTTTCCCTGCTATGTCAGGAGGGCAGTCTCCTCCTCCTCCTTTCTCTGTTGGAAGAGGAAGGGGTGGATGAGTGGCAGCGGCGTCAGCAGAGCCCCAGGCAAGGAAGAAGGGGAGGAGGAGGAGGTGAGGAAGGTTGATGGTGCTCGAGTGAAGTACCTCCCTCTCCCTCCCTCCCCTTCTTTCCTCCCTCTCCTTCCTTCCTCCCTTTCTTTCTTTTTTTTTTGATTTATACTTTTTATTGTGCAAATTTTCTTTTTACATAATAATACACGTGGAAAAAAAGAGGAAAGAGAAGATTGAGAAACATGTACAAGTAAAGGCAGATAGGAAAAGAAAAAGAGAAAGAGAAAAAAAAGAAGAAAGAAAAAAGAGAGAGAGAGATCAACAGACCAACCCCCCCCCCCCCCCGCCCCCCAGTGATCGTGACCTTCTCTCCAAATCCCCTCCCTATCCTCTGTTGCAATCCAGAGCAGGGAATGAGGCCCTAAGATAACTATCCACCACACTTGACTGTGAAAAACAATCCTTTTTTATTGAAGAAAAATGGTTACAAAATAAAGGGAAAATGCAAGTCAAAAGCCACAGCAAAATCAGCAAACATGAATTTAAATGCACAAGAACAAAACCCAAAGCCACACTGCAAAATACTGGAACCTGTTTAGTGATTCACTAACCGTACTTGATATCCTAGAAATCTTCCCAAGCTATGGCCAGGGAACCAGGAGAGCTGCCAAGGTCTTCATCAATTCTGAAACGATGCCTGAACTGAGACAGTCAGCCCGGCGGAAGGCAATTAAAACCCAAGAATTGGTTCCGTGAACCGCCCCTCTTCTTTGAAGCCAATGTTTTTAATTCTTGAATTCGGGAGGATCGATGCAAACTGAGTGATTTACTTCTGTCTTCCCAAATTTGGCCCCTTCTGTTGTCATTACAGTTAACAGGTGCAGAAGGGAGGGAAAGTTCAAGGTCTCCCTCTGAAACATTCTCATGAACACTGGTGCTTTCATTTTCCAAATCTACAGAAGTTCCTTCCTCACTAATTTCAGGAACATTGGCATTTTCCAAACCTACAGCAGTGTCTTCCTCACTAATTTCAGGAGCATTGACATCAAGAGGTACATTTTCATTAGCATCAGTAAATATGTTTTCATTAGCATCAGGAGAAACAAACAGAGAATCAGGTTCAAGTTCAAACTCAGGCTGAACCCCAACACTAGTATTACAATTGGTGATAATTCTGCCCTTCTGTGGTTACATTTCCGGCGTTACTTCGATGTTTGGTTCTTCTTCAAATGCTGGATATGTCTATAATAAGTGTCAACTTCTTTTTTGTTGTAATAAAGTCTTTGAAACCCTCCCAGTTCGTTTTTTTTTATGAGTTATTCAATCGTTGCGATAAGCAGTCCATCTGTATTATGTCGAATATTTTAAGATCCAGTCTTCGATTGTTGGAGTGTCTTTTTGTTTCCATACTTTGGCCAAAGTTATCCTGGCGGCTGTGCTTAACAGGAAGAATACCCTGTCTTGCTTTGCGTTAAATTTTGGATAAGAAATGCCCAGAAGATACATTTCTGGTAATGATGGAAAGTTGATTTTTAGGATTTTTTGTGTTGCTAGATGTATTTCTCTCCAGTATTTCTTAATTTTTTTACAGGTCCACCATTGGTGGAAGTACATCCCTGTCTCTTTTTGGCATTTCCAACATTTGTTTGATATACTTCTGTTAAATTTGGAATTTTTTTCTGGGGAATAGTGCCATCTATAAAACATTTTATACCAGTTCTCTTTCAGATGTTCAAGCTGGGTTTAGAAAAGGCAGAGGAACGAGAGACCAGATTGCCAATATCCGCTGGATAATGGAGAAAGGCAGGGAGTTTCAGAAAAGCATCTACTTCTGCTTCATTGACTATTCTAAAGCCTTTGACTGTGTGGATCATAATAAATTGTGGCAAGTTCTTAGTGGGATGGGCATCCCAAGCCACCTTGTCCTCTCTCCTGAGGAATCTGTACAAGGACCAAGTAGCAACAGTCAGAACTGACCACGGAACAACGGACTGGTTCAAGATTGGGAAAGGCGTACGGCAAGGCTGCATCCTCTCACCCAACCTATTCAACTTGTATGCAGAACACATCATGCGATGTGCGGGGCTTGATGAATCCAAAGCTGGAGTTAAAATTGCTGGAAGAAACATAAGATATGCAGATGATACCACTTGGATGGCCTGAAGCTAGGAGGAGCTGAGGAGCCTTCTAAAAAAGGTGAAAGAAGAAAGCGCAAAAGCTGGGTTGCAGCTAAACATAAAAAACCAAGATTATGGCAACAAGAATGATTGACAACTGGGAAATAGAGGGAGAAAATGTGGAGGCCAGTGACAGACTTTGTATTTCTAGGTGCAAAGATTACTGCAGATGCAGACTGTGGCCAGGAAATCAGAAGACGCTTACTTCTTGGGAGGAGACCAATGTCCAGTCTCGATAAAATAGTAAAGAGTAGAGACATCAGACTGGCAACAAAGATCCGCCTAGTCAAAGCCATGGTATTCCCTGTAGTCCCCTACGGATGTGAGAGCTGGACCTTAGGGAAGGCTGAGCGAAGGAAAAGAGATGCTTTTGAGCTGTGGTGTTGGAGGAAAGTTCTGAGAGTGCCTTGGACTGCGAGAAGATCCAACCAGTCCATCCTCCAGGAAATAAAGCCCGGCCTGCTCACTGGAGGGAAGGATACTAGAGACAAAGTTGAAGTACTTTGGCCACATCATGAGGAGACAGCAAAGCCTAGAGAAGACAATTATGCTGGGGAAAGTGGAAGGTAAAAGGAAGAGGGGCTGACCAAGGGCAAGATGGATGGATGGCATCCTTGAAGTGACTGGACTGACCTTGAAGGAGCTGGGGGTGGTGACGGCCGACAGGGAGCTCTGGCGTGGGCTGGTCCATGAGGTCACGAAGAGTCGGAGACGACTGAACGAATGAACAACAACTCTTTCAGATCACTGGCAACTGTATCTTTTAGTTTAATGTTCCAAATCTCCTCCCACTGTTTCAGTAGGATATTCTGTCCTATATCTTTTGCCCATTTAATCTGGCATTAATTTGTTCTTCTTCTGTTGCCCAGCCTAATAATTGTTTATATAGTAGTTTAATTAGGTTCCTTTCTTTTTGCATGATTGTTTCCCAAATTCCCTTTTCCTGGCAAAAGCCCTGCCTTTCGTCTTTTCTACAGCTTTCATATAATCGGTGATACTGTAACCATGTGAATTTGGGATTTATTTGTTTTATTTCCTCTATTGATTTGATGGTTAATTTTTTTATCATCTGTGACTTTTAAGATTTGTTTGTATGTTAGCCAATTTTCACATCCTAATTCCCTTTTGTGTCTTGCTTCTTTCTTTCCTTTTCTTCCTTCTCCTTCCTTTCCTTCTTTCCCTCCTTCCCTTCCTTCCTGTCCCTCCTTCCTTCTTCCTTTCCTTCTTTTCCTTCCTCCCTCCCTCCCTTTCCTCCTTCTTTCCCTTTATTTCCTTCCCCTTCATTTCCTTCCCTCCCTCTTCATCCCCTCCTTCCTTTCCCTCCTTCTTCCTTCTTCCTTCCTTCTTCCTTCCTGTCCCTCCTTCTTTCTTTTCCTTCCTTTCCTTCTTTCCCTCCTTTCCTCCCTCCCTTTCTTTTTCCTTCCTTTCTGTCCTTTCTTCCTTCTTCCTTTCCTTCTTTCTATGTAAGATATAAATGCAATATTAAATGGGACAGTCAAGAAGTAATGAGAGAAGGAGGGAAAGAGAGAGGGAATGAAAGAGGGAAAGGGGGAAAGAAGGAAGGAAAGAAGGAGAGAATGAAGGAGGGAGGGAAAGAAGGAAGGAAAGAAAGAAAGGTAGAGAAGCAAGGAAGGAGAGAAGGAAATAAAAAAGTGAAAGGAAAAAGAGGGAAGGAGGAGGAAGAAGAAAAGAAGGAGAAAAGGAAGGAAGGAAGGAAGGAAGGAAGGAAGGAAGGAAGGAAGGAGAAGGAAGGAAGAAGGAAGGATGTAACCAAAGAGCAAAGAAAGGGAGGAAAGAAACAGGTAGAGATGGAAGAAAGAAGAGAAATAGGGAAAGAAAAAGAGGAAAGGAAGGAAAGAGGGAAGGAAGGAGAGAAAGAGGGAGGGAAGGTTGGCCACAGCAACAGCTAGTCTATATAAATAAAAATGTTATGTTCGTTTGTGGCATTAACGGAACTCAAAAACCACTGGACAAATTGGCATCAAATTTGGACACAAGACACCTAACAACCCAATGTATGTCCTTCACTCAAAAAATTATTTTGTCATTTGGGAGTTGTTGTTGCTGGGATTTATAGTTCACCTACAATCAAAGAACATTCTGGACTCCACCAAGAATGAAACTGAACCAAATTGAACCAAACTTGGCACACAGTTCTCCCATGACCAACAGAAAATACTGGAAGGGTTTGGTAGGCAGTGTCCTTTGGTTTTGGAGTTGTAGTTCACCTACATCCAAAGAGCACTGTGGACTCAAACAATGATGGATCTGGACCAAACTCTACACAAATACTCAATATGCCCAAATGTGAACACTGGTGGAGTTTGGGGAAAATAGAACCTTGACATTTGGGAGTTGTAGTTGCTGGGATTTATAGTTC